AATCGCTTAGGCGGTTACAGCGCCAAATAAGAAGAAGAAGAAGAATCATGATCGTTTATTTCAACTCATATTCTGGAGAAAAGATATTGATGACCCGATTCGCATTTTTCAGCTGAACACTATTATGTACGGTATGGCATCGTCGCCATTTCTTGCCATACGAAGTCTGTTCCACATAGCTGATTTGTATCGTGAGTTACATCCAATTGGCGCACGAGCTCTACAGGAGGATCTATATGTTGACGATCTACTCACGGGAGCCGAAGATGAGGAGGATCTATATAAGAAAAAAAAGGAAATCTCAGACATATTAGCACGCGCAGGCCTACAGTTGGCGAAGTGGAATTCAAACAGTTCACGAGTCCTAAAAAGACATGAAGAAGAAATTCCCATCAAGGTATACAACGAGAACATAACTAAAGCTCTCGGAATGGCATGGAAGCCACACTGTGATATGTTTTGTTTCCACTTTACTCTGGCGGAACACCTAATTCCAACTAAGCGTACTGTGTTATCAGTAGTAGCAAAAATTTATGATATGTTGGACCTTTTGAGTTCAATCATTATTCGATTCAAAGTTCTCATACAAGAAATGGGGATTCAAAAGCTTCAGTGGGATGAACCTTTAGCGGGAGATGTGAAACACATGTGGGATCAAATCAAAGATGATCTCACTTCGATCAACGAAATTTAAGTACCACGTTATGTTTTCACCTCATGTACGTATAAATGCGAAATCCATGGTTTCGCTGATGCTTCTCGAAGAGCCTATGGGTGTTGTATTTATGTACGCATGCATAGCGTGAATCACATCACTCACAAGGAATTAGAAATTACTTTTGAAAGAGTCGTTGCAGCTATTCAGCTCGAGTACTTTTCTGATGAAATCAAGCAATTGCAACTAGGTAATCCTGTGAAAACCACTATTCAAAGTCTTTCGCCGTTCTTGGAAGATATTGACACTTACGGCTCCACGATTTATCTTTTACGCGTCGGTGGACAACTTGCCAACTCTAATCTGCCATATGAGACAAAACACTTGCTTCTCCTACCAAGACAATGTCGTTTCGTACTTTTATACGCTGAATATCTTCATCGAAAACACCTTCATGTCGGTCCGGAGAATTTAGTTGGATTGCTGCGTCAAAGGCTGTGGGTAATCCATGCTCGTGAAGTCGCACGTAAGGTCGTGCGAAAATGTGTACATTGCTATCATTACAAACCCAAATTACAAGAACAAATCATGGGAAACTTGCCGGCAGACAGATTCAGGACGCAAAGACCTTTTTTTGTTTCCGGTGTCGATTTCTGCGGCCCATTCAATACATTAAGCAAACGTCAAGCTGTGAGGTTGTACTTTATTGTGCTCTGATTTTGGCTTTCTACTTACTAAGTTAATTGTGCTAATTCTGTGTTAAAGTAGTGATAAAAAGTGCTTATGAGCATCAGAGTGTGAAATAATTGAAGCTAAGTGAAAGTTTTGGTTTTATATTAAAGTAAATTTAATTAAATTTCACTAGCATACATTCTAATTTTGCCGAGTCATTTGTTGCTATCATTGTTGTTGTATCCTTTGTAGTTAACTTTCATTTTGTTTTTGCACACTTGTTCTACTCTTTTTGTTTACTTCTTCTAGTAATTCTTGTCACATCTGTTTGCGTTGCGTTTATTAAGTGTCATAATTACAGTGATACTCAAACTGTTCGCTACATTTATTTAAAGCTATTTACATCAGCTCCTTAATTGTTATAATTTATTTTGTTTGTCTTTTATTAGCGAGTGTATTACATAAATCTTTCAATATGAAGTGTGATCTTGATACTTGCCAAATTAAAAGCGATTCTGAACGCTACTTATCGTGCTGGCTGTGTGATGGTATTTACCATCTGAAATGTGCTGGTGTGACGGAAGAATTCTGGACGCTATTAATGATGGCAAGGGCCTTCGCTGGTCTTACGTAAAGTGCAGGTCAACCGAAGTTGATCTTTTCAAGCTATTTAGGCAAACCAGAAATGGTTTTACAGAAATAGGAAGGGAATTGTCGGTACTGACAGAAAAATTTAAGCATTATGAAAATATGTTTAAATCATTCAAATGCTTAGATACCTTGCAATCTGTTAAGGATATCCGTGTGTCTAAACGTAAGCGTCTTCATAGTCCATCTAAGGAAATTGCTGCCGTTGCACGTCAGAATAATCTTCCGACGGACTTAATTAATTTATCCTCTCCGTGTCCTCCAGCATCAGAATCCTCAGCCTCAAAAGACCGTGTTACGAAATCTGCTTCGGATAATAAAGAGCCTGAAGTATCTTCCCCTTCCCCCATTGAAGTGGTGGCATCGTTTTCAAAGCCTCCACCGCCTTCCCTATCCTCAACTACTAACGCAGAAACTCAACCCCCTCCACCGGTAGTCCAGTCTGATACGAGGAAACTAGTTGTGGTTCCGCCAAAGAAGTCAATCTTTGTTTCTAGATTTTCGAGAGACACTACCGAAGACGATATAAAGCTTTACATCTCATCAAAAATTTCAACTGTCGACTTAAGCATCAGAAAATTTAATTTTAATTATGAAAGAAATATTGCTTCATTTAAAATTGACGTAAATTTAGATAATTTTAATGCGCTGCTTAGTAGTTTTTTTTTGGCCCCCCGGAGCTTTCGTTCGTGAATTCGAATATAGGCACAAAAAAGGAAATAACTTAGCTAATATTTCCCGTCATAACACTGAATCAAAAAACTAATTATTAAATCTGCTTTAAGTATTTATTACCAAAATGTAAGAGGCTTAAATACTAAATTAACGAACTTGGCCTTGAATGTAATTATAATATTCTTTCTTTTAGTGAAACTAGGCTGAAACCTCACATTTTCAATTCAGAGATTCTTCCAAATAATTCTCATATCTATAGACAAGATAGGGAGGACAGAATCGGCGGTGGCGTACTCTTCGCTGTAGACTCTTCAATACCATCTGAAGAAGTTAGTCTTCCACACATTGATTCAGTAGAGTTCAAATGCATTCGTGTACAGGCTGGAAAAGGATCTATTTACTTAGCTCTGTGCTATATCCCTCCCCGATCTGACACATTGGTGTATTCACGACTCATCTCTTTACTGAAATCAGTTAATTTACTGACTAAACCTTCTGATTCAATGATTATGTTGGGTGATTTTAATTTACCAAGCATATCATGGAACATCATTGACAATGATATCATACCTTTCGCGTCTAGTGCGTGCAACAACGTATTTTTAGAGGAGATGGCTGAACTCTGCCTAACTCAGGTTAATGTACTTCACAATAAGTTTGGTAGAGTATTAGATCTTGTTTATGTTGATGATGCATCTAAGTCCGTTGTAAATAAGTGCGATCCACTAGTTTTTCCCGAAGATGTCTACCACCCTGCTATGGAGGTATCTTACGAAGTTATAAGTGATGGTCAAAATTGCAGTACCCAAGCATAC